CCTCTCGTAGTTGTTCACTGGAGATAAGAAGCAGCCAGTGATCGTGCCTATGTTTGCTGCTGGACTGGTAAATGAAGTCCTAAACTCCAAAAATATACACTGCCATTCAAAAGTTTGTGGGCAGGATGATTTTTTTTTAAAGAACAATTTTAACAAAAAAATTTAAATATATTTTTATATATGTTTTGTTTTCACCAAACATCTGTCCCTTCTTCTTAGGGAATGCTGGAACCCACCAAAGAGTCTCAAAAATCTCCAGCCTCCCCTGCACTTTCCCCTTCTGCTCCTGTGGAGAGTGGAAATATTCTATGCACTCAGGTGAAAAGAGCAGACATACACATAGATGTATAGATACAGATATATTAGTGATCTAATCTTCAGTCTTTAGATTTGTTGTATTTTTGGACATTCTCTCACTCTTAAGTTGGTTGAAAAAGTACTTTGAATTCTTTCTAACTCCATGTGTTATCCTGCAGGTGGCATCCTCTTTGGCCATTAGTATTGACGGTATGTCTTTTCGCCGTGCCTCCTTCTCTAGAGTTCAAGAAAAAGCCATTCGCCACTCACGGCAGAAATCCTACTCCTGATGCTGCCTCGCTTATCCCTGTCTGAGCACTTCCTTCATCTCTCACGACACACTTTTCTTCTCTCCATTTTTCAAACTTCCTGTCCCTTCCCAATTCACACACCACTTAGGAAAGTTTCTCTCCTGGTATTTGTTTTATCAGTGTTGATTTAACACAGCACCAACCTACCATTAGCAGAATAATTTGAGAAGTAGCCATCAAAATCTTGTTTATAATTCAAAGAACAGGAAACTTTTTTTTTCTCCCAGTTGTTTGTCTTTCTTCTTGAAACACTATTTAGTCAGCAAAGATATAAATCCATTCATCTTAGTTTCCCTTTTAAATGTTTATTTGTGTTTATATCTTGCCTCTCTCCTGTCTTGTTTACTGTTAAAGTCCAGACCCATGTCACTATGCTGTCAACACACAGAGAGGCTGAAATATACTACCTCAGACTATAAGTATGCAGCTTCAACTGTGATTTATTACCTTGCCATTATATGCAAGATTTCAGATAAAGAGAATTATACCCATTATCAAGTATGTTCTCAGTTGTGTTGTCAAAAATACAACCAAATTGGTCCCTGTGCACCAGCTACTGTCTCAGGTTTGACTAAAAAAGAGATTGCAAATCTTTTTTGGAATAGCTGAGCTGACCTTATTGCTGGTGCTTATGAAGCCATTGCACAGCTTGCCTTGGCTAAAGTTAAAGGGGAAACACCACCACATTTTCAAAAATTTACATACAGATGCTACAACAAATTGAGATGCTATTTTAAAATTGTGAAGGTTTAATTATGTAGTCATTTACAGTCAATGTAAATGTATAATTTTGTTTTCCTTCTGATAAAAGCAAAACCTTTTCTTTACTGTCTCAAAAGCCACTGTGACCAGCAGTGAAACATTCGTTGGTGCACTTTTTTGACCAACTTAACTTGCATACTGTGATATACCGCAAATGTTACGGGTTCAATACAAGTTCAGGCAACAGAAATTGCAGCATAATGTTGATTACCACAGAAAAAAAAATTTGGCTTGTCCTTTCTTTTTCTTATTTTTTGCTTAAAAAACGTTTACAGTTTATTATGGCTGTATTTTTTAAAGCATTGTGTATTTTAAGACTTTCTCCCAGTGCAGTTGCCTTGATATTTTGCTTTTTTATTGAGGAATGAGTCAATTATTTTTAGTGATAAATAATCAGCATTATGCCACAAATGTTGTCGAGCTTTAATGAAGAAATCCAGAAAATTTCTTTAACCAAAATTATTGACCTTGATTTCTTTTTCTGGATAGTAATTATTTTCCACTTAGGTTGCACCAAATTGTTATTAAATATGTCAATAAATATATTATACTACAGTATGACTATAGTTTCTCTATTCTGTTCATGGCTTGCTTTCATCTCCTGTCTTATTCTCTTTACTTTTTCTTGCCCTGTTGCTCCTAATACAAATTTCCTGGTGATGATCTGCTGTTATGTACACTACTGTTCAGAGGTTTGGGGTTGGTAAGTTTTGTTTGTTTGTTTTTTATTATTTAAAGAAAATGCAGTAAACACCATTCAAAGTAACTGTTTCTATTTTAAAATATTTAAAAAATTAATTTATTTCTGTGAGTAAGCTGAATTTTCAGCAGCCATTGTGATCCTTCAGAAATCATTCTAATATGCTGATTTGGTGTTCAAGAATATTTTCTTAATATCAATGCTAAAAACAGCTTCATATTTTTGTGGAAACCATGATAAAAAATTTTCAGGATTCTTTGATAATAGAAAATTCAACTACATTTATTTAAAATAGAAATCCTTTGTAACTATGTAGAAGTCTTTACTGTCTCTTTTAAACAATTTAATGCATCCATGCCGAATAAAAAATCGTACTGACCCAAAACCTTTGAATGGTAGTGCATATAATATTGTTAATATATTGTGGGTATGCTTAACTACTAACTACCCTTACTACCCTCTATGTCCTGCTGTCATTGCTGCTGCTCTCATGTGAAGCACTAGATGGTGGAATATCAAAGCTAAATTTGGACTATTTTGGCCCTGTGGAAGAATGTAGCTCAGATAGTGAAACTGACACTCCACTACCAGGTTAGAACAGAAAGGGTTTGTCTCAGAGAAGTGAGTGGTTTGCTGTGAAACCTTCTTTCCTTCCTGTTCCCATGTGTCTGTGATTTTGAAATCAGTCTTTAGTGAAGCTTGTCATCTTTAGCATTTGTTCGTAGTCTAGTGTTCTGTCCTTGGCTTCCTCTCTCTGCACTTTCTTACAGTATCTGCCTCTGTGAGTATCTCTTTTTTTCTTCTTCCTTTAATCTAATACACTATTGAGTGATTTGCCTCTGTGTTTCTGAAAAATTATATTAAAGGTGAAAATTATCTTTAAAGTGTTTCTGCGATCCTGTTTACATAGTTTCACTGTATTTACTGTCATGATGAACTGTAAGTTTTAAGCATGACAAGGAAATGAAAACAATGTGTCTGCGTATTTGTCTCTTTTAATTTTTATATATAT